CAACCCCCCCACTACCTTCTCGCTGCCACTCATGTTTTGACTTGTCCTCGGTGGGTTTGACTCACCGTGTTCCCCTGACGGTTCTGCCAGGACTTCCACGTCTGGCCGTCCCTGCTGTAGTTGAGGCGATAAGCTGTGGCGTACTCTTTGCCGGTGCTCCTGGCGTATCGTCCCTGAGTCCCGACCACGGTCAGGAAGGTCAACCTGCCCAGGTCCACCTGGAGGAACATGGAGGTCAGGGATAATTCTTAACTCAGGTTTGGTCTCCATCCATTGATTTGATGCAGTGAAATAGAAATTAAAAAACCCCAAAAAAAACAGTCAAAACGAATCACCTCATCTAGTGGACAGTTTCTGAACTTCACATTTGTAGTGATGTGCCCTTCGCAAGTGATTCGTCCAATATGAACAAATCTTTCATATGACTTGTGACTCCGGAGTCATATGAAGGCTTCGTTCATACTGAACGAATCACTCACTAATCGTGAATGAATCGCTACATGCAAATGAATCACTCTCTGCGAATTAACCGCTCTGTGAATTTATCACTCTCCGCAAATGAATCACTCACTGAGAATGAATCGCTCCCTGCGAAAGAATCGCTCTCTGCGAATGAATCGCTCTCTAATCGCTCTCTGCGAATGAATCCGAAAGAATCGCTCTCTGCGAATGAATCACTCTCTGCGAATTAATCGCTCTGTGAATTAATCACTCACTGAGAATGAATCACTCTCCGCAAATGAATCACTCTCTGCGAATGAATTACTCTTGGCGAACGAATCACTCTCTGCGAATGAATCGCTCAACGCGAATGGATCACTCTCCGCGTCCTTCCTCAGGTCCTCGTTCTTTTATCACGCGACGCAACAAATTTAGTGTCGGAGAACCACAGCCTTCTTTCCTTCTCAAGGCCCGCAATAGGGCTTACAGCGCCACCTGCTGTGAAATGATTCTTTCACGATTCATTCACGTTCAAATTCGTTCATTTGACTGTTCGAGAGTCAAAGATCCGAATCAGTAAAAAGAGTCGGTCTTCCCAACGCTAGTGCACAGGCTATTTGCGTCCTGGTTAGTCACCGTGACCTCACACTCTCCGGTTGCACTGACCGCGGCGGTGGTAACAGGAGAGTTTTGTGCCCCCCTGAGGTGGGGCG